GGGGCGGGGGGGGTGGAGGCGGAAGGCGGAAGCAATCGGGCTTCGTCTGGGGCTATGGCAGCCAGCTCTGACGCGGTGGATGGGGATCGGGACGACACGACTGCCGCAGGTCATAACCATAGCCAGGGCTTGGCGACGATGACGACAGAGGGGGGGCGTTTGGGAGGAGAGGAAGGTGGGCAGATGTTCCTCGAATGCTGCGATTTGGATGAGTTGAGGCCAGAGGGGGGTCCTGTAAATGGGGTTGTATTAGCCCTGGCGGCGCCAGGGAGTGGTTTGTCAGGTGGGGGGGGGGGGGGGGGGGGGGGGGTGGATCGTCTGGATCCCGGCGGAGCAAAGCGGCAACGTCGGCTGCCAAAGGCGGCGGGGCTGTTGGGGGTGGGGTTAGTGTGGACAGTGGAGGGCAGAGAGCGGTGGGAGGTGCAGGAGGGGCCAAGGTTAGGGCAAGGGGAGTAGGGGGAAAGAGGGTGTCCCCGGTGGTTACGGGCCTTAGTGGAAGCGACGCCAATGAAGTTGGGGGAGGGGAATCTGCGGCTGAAGGAGAAAAAGGCACGTGTGTGGTGGGGCTGATGACACCTGGCAGCGAAAGCAAACTCGGGGAGAGCCCTCTCTGCGCCACGTCCTTGAAGTAGGTGCCACGTCGGATTTTTTTTTCTTTTTCTTCCGGGATTGGTTTTCTTTTTGTTCTTTTTTTTTTCCTTTCCTTTTTTTGCTGGAGTCGGAAGAAGAAACTGATTCCTTTCAAACGGAAACGAAAAAAGGAAAAAACAAAAAAATCAAGCGAGAGGAAGGGATTCCTAAGAATTACGTCGTTGTTGTGTTGTAAAGGGACGTGAAAAAAGAAGGGGATAAAAATTGAAAACAGTAGCAGTGCCGCGTTTTGCCTTTTTTTTAATTAAAAAAAAAATTGAGCCATTTATTTTTGCGCAGGAGCCATGCAAATCTTCTTTGTATCGTTGCAATTCTAACGGGTGCTCTGGAGGACCAGTGCCGTGTTTTTTTTTGTTTTTTTTTTTGGTGTAAAAACGGGCCCAGTGCCCAAGGCTTATATTTCCAATAAACCAGTGCCGTGTTTGAAAGGAGCATGAGCCAAAAAAAAAAAGGTGGAAAAAAGTAAAAAGCGAAGAGTTGTCAGGACTCAGGAATCGTCCCACTTGCGTTAGTCCATCTTTTGGGCCTCCTTTCGCCGCTGGGAAAATGTGAAAACGACGAAAAAAAGCTCGATGTTTGCTAGGCTACCAGAGTGGCCCGGGTCCACTTGCCCGGCCGAGCCAAAAAGATATTACAGTAAAAAATAAAAAAAATATAAAATATTTTTTTAATTTAAAATTTTATTTTTAATTTGGTAAAGAATTTCGATGTGACCCTGACGCAAAAGTTGTTTAGTTTAATTTTCTGCATAACAGAGTTTTTTTCCGGATTTTTTTTTGTTTTTTTGTTTTTTTGTTTTTGGTGGCTGGGACCTTGCGTGGTCCTTGCACGGCCGGGCCGCCCGGGAAAATAGGGTGACCCGGGCGGCCCGGCTGGTAGCCTAGGATGTTTGTATTTTCCACACCTCTAGCCGACTATACATTTTGGCGAATTACGGCAATAACACGTTTTCGTTTTACTCAATATAACACGTTTAGAGAGGGGAGTGCAGCGAGGCCCTTTTTTGCGGCTTCTCCCCCCTCCCTGTACTCTTCCCTTTTCTCTTCCCGTTTTTTCCGCTTGCGTCTGTTTTTTTTTTTCTATTTTTTTTTGTTGAGGGTGAAGGCGGGGGACGAGATATCCTCGTCGAGCTGACCACCCCCACGTAATTCAGAATTCAATTGTTCTATTTCGATCTGGATTCGAACGAAGGTCGGTCTATCAACAGTTTATGGGTGTACCAACTGAGCTAGTCCAGGTAGTCTTTTTTTTTTTTTTTTTTTTTTTTCCGGGTCAGCATAGCGTGCGAACCCTATTGAAGTCTTCATAAATTTGCCAGCCATATGTCTTGATGTCCATACAGTGCACGGCCTAAACCGTACATGGCATATATAATAGCCAACTGGCCCTTTTTAACCAGTTGGTCTTTCCCCGCTTGCGTCGATTTTATTTCTCTGTCTTTTTCTCCCGCTCTTTTATCTCAGGAACAACCTGCTGGAAAAAAGAAGAAAAGAAGAAGAACAAGCGTTCTTTCTATCCTCCCCCCCCCCCTCCTTCCCCTCTCTTCCCCAGCCTTCGTTGTTTGCGGAATTTTACGACTCTAAATTGTAAAACCGTGCTCCGATTCTCCACCTCCCCTCCGCCGTTCTCCGCTCTCGCGCAAGCTGGCTGCGCTTGCTTCGGACTCCGCTTACATTTATAGGACGTACTTTTTGTTTTGTTTTATTTTATTTTCTGTTTTTTTTTCTTTGGTAAAAACACCAGTTATATTGTAGTGATAACAAGAGGAGGCCGGGGGCGAGGTCGCACTAGCCAAGAGATGAGTGGATTGAATGCCTGAATCTGGACGTGTTTTTGTAAAGGTGCAGAAAATCGAGATTGAATTGCTCTTCTGCATCTCTGCTTAAAACACGTCCAGATTCAGGAGCTTAATACAATCCTCTTTGCTAGTGGGACCTTGCTCCGGGACCATGCCCCACTTCCTCCCTCCCTCCCCCCTCCCTCCCTCCCCACTCCCTCCCTCCCTCCCCACTCCCTCCCTCCCTGGGCTCGGTTTAGGTTTGGAGTCGTGCGACAGCCCAGATGCATGAGCGAGGCAGCTGTTATCTGAGGCCGTTAGAGCGCATAGCTGCCTGAATCGATCAGCTTTTCTTAACTTTTTTTAATTATTGAAACAAGGATCAGATATGAAACTGATATGGATGTAGGTAGCCATTCTTTGGATTAGTCTATACGGTAAACACCGCGGGTTTATCAAAGGCACGCCGGCCCCGAACTTTTTGGACTAGGCCACGAGTGTCTTTTCAGCAAGGATGGGGCCGGGTACTGGAGGTTAACGGATGTCCCAAAGGTTGCAGGGCAGTTGTTTTTGCTCTCCCATTGGGCGCTGTTTAATTTTTTTTTGTTGTGGCGGTCTTGTGGTCGTCCCGAACGTGCCGTAATTTGACCCCACCAGTACTTGGGCCATACATCGGCCGCGGGCCTTCCCCGTTAAAGCGCCGCAGCCTTAGGGAGTCTAGGGAGTCGGCCAAGGGAAGGTCCAGTCGTTGCTGAATGGCCGGCCCCAGTTCACTCGGCATGACACCAAAGAATAAAAGAACAAATTAAAAAAAAAAGATTCAAATGCACAGAAGTAAAAAAAAAAGAAAAGGAAAGGAAGGACGGAGAGAGAGAGAGAGAGAGAGAGAGAGCTCAGCAACGGGAATGCAAGATTCATTCCCGTTTTCGTTTTTTGAAAAGAGCGCGCGCGCGCACGCAAAAAAAAAGAGAGAGAGAGAGAGAGAGAGAGAGAAAGGCGACGACCTGCACGGAAGGCCGCAGCAAATTCGGCACCTCTCTCTCTCTCTCTCGTTTCCGAAAACGAAACGAGAGTGAGAACATGCAAAGATACACCAACTGCATTCTTGTCTTTTGTGCATGTGGAGGAGGTAGTAACCGTTTTTTTTTCTTTTTCCATGTTTTTTAGAGTAAATCCCGTTTCTCTGTCGTTCCGTGTTATTCTCCAAGCACGTTTGGGAAGTTAGCAACTGGTAGTTCGAGCGTCGGCAAGGCTCGGCATACTGTTCGGCGGAGGCTCGGGCTTGATAGCTGGGCCAAGTACTGGTGGTTTAAAATTCGGCACCCTATTGTTTTTTGTGCCTTAATTTCGGCATTTGTGGTTCACGGCAAAGGAAGGCAAGGATGAATGGCTTCATCGCTGGAAAGTGATTGTGCTTTGGGAGGATTGGATCTCCTCATCTACACCAAATCCTGCATGGAGTTACCCTTGCCCTACCATGTCAGGGTAGGACCCCACTGCTTGGCGGTGCTTGGCGCCAGGTAAACATCCGCCAGCCCAGAATCGTAGCCGACGGGAATGGGCAAACGAAAAGGGACTCCACCCGCCACAGCAAATTGTGGGACTTCCCAAGTTTGCCGACGGGAATGGGCAAACGAAAAGGGACTCCACCCGCCACAGCAAATTGTGGGACTTCCCAAGTTTGCCTCCGCCTTTTCAGCACACCAACCAATCCCCATGCTTTCTTTCCACACGGGATGGGTAAATCCAGAGGGTGCGATTGCCTACCTCTAGTGGTAGGCAATCGCACCCTCTGGATTTACCCATCCCGTGTGGAAAGAAAGCATGGGGATTGGTTGGTGTGCTGAAAAAGCGGAGGTAGGCAGAGTGGAAACAAAAATGCTTCTGTTTGTAGCCACCAGTCGAGTCCCAAAAAATGTCTTCCAAAGGCTTGCCGCCGTCCAGTGGGGTCCTACCCTCAAACGAGTATTTCTGCTGGAGCGAAGGAGCAGCGTGCACTGCGGCCCATTTCAAAGAAGCCTGAGCCTATTGTCAATGAGTATAGTCTGTTTGCCCACTCACATGCAGTCGTTTTGAGTGCCACAGCCATGGTCAGTGAATCATACCCTGACGTCTGATATCCCACCTGGAGTAGACACGATTACTAGTAAGAACACTTTCTTTTCTTCTTTAGCATTTTTCTCTTCATCTTTTTTTTTCATGAAGTGTTTCTTTTTGTTTTTATTTTCCCTATTTCACACTGCCACCCACCCGTCCCCCACCCGTCCCATGCCTGTCACACTTGTCCGAATACATGGCTATACATGGCTAGTGGAACCTCCCTCCAGAACAGATACTACACTTGATCTTAGCCAAAAGGCTTTACCTATTGTTAAACGGAAAAGAGAATCGAAAGAAAACTGCGACAGAGTGTACTTGACACCTGACGAACCAGCAGGCCCCCCTCTTTCCGAGCCTGCGGCAGCTGGAGGCTACCGGTAGAAACGAGTATTGCTGGGTGTTGTTCCTCTGGTGGTGCATGTATGTGAAGAACGCTGTGGTTGGTTCGTCAGTTTTCAGGTACAGTCTTTGGCAGGTTTTTCTTCCATGTTCTTTTCCACTTCAGAATAGATAAATCCCATCTATCCGGGCAGCCCATAATCTAGCGGCGTCAGATAATGAGCTGCCCCTCAGTTGTCTTAGGCTTGTGCTCCACTGGCTCCTCCGAAGTACGGCAGGTACTGAGCCAAGTTCGTAATGAGAACTGAGGCTCCACTACCCATGAACTTCGGTGCTTTTTCAAGGTATATGCAGCCCTAACGTCATCTCGGGGCCATTGCGTGATCAAATGGCTAAGTTTGGCCCCTCTTGGGAAAGGAGGCGGTGCTACGGCCTTTCCAGCTTGAGGAGCAACGAAGCAGCCGCCGCAGGTACGCTTGAAGCTGGAGAGCTCTAAACAACCGTTTTACAGGGCAAGCACTGCGTAGAAAAACATAACTTTGGAGTAGCTACGGCCTTTCCAGCTTGAGGAATGACGAAGCAGCCGCAGGTGCGCTTGAAGCTGGAGAGATCTAAACAACCGTTTTACAGGGCGAGCACTGCGTAGGGAAACATTAACTTTGGAGCAGTGGAGCAGGGGATAATTCGGGGAATTTTCCTGAAGTAAGGCAGTGGAGCACAAGCCTTATTGCAACTGGGCTGTTGCACGACTCCAAACCAAAACCAAACCTCGACAAGGTGCGCTTGAAGCTGGAGAACTCTAAACGACCGTTTTTCAGGGCGAGCACTGTGTAGGGAAACAATAACTTCGGAGGAGTGGAGTAGTGGAGCGGAATACTTTGGAAAGTTTTCCCGAAGTAAGTCAGTGGAGCACAAGCCTTAATGCATGTGGGCTGTCGCCCCACGAGCGGCACAACTCCAAACCAAAACTAAACAAGCCTTAATGCACAACTCCAAACCAAAACTAAACAAGCCTTAATGAATGTAGCACAATACGAATGTCATCCCACTGTGCTCTGCTCTAGACAAGACAGACGCAGTGTAGTGCAACATTTAGTCAGTGTGCTCCAGTGTAAGCTGCTGCTGGACAGAGTACTATAGGATAGTTATGGCCTGACTCCAGTACTCAGCGTTGAACATCTGGACCGATCCATTCAGAGAATTTCAGACTTCCAACATGTTAAATGTAGCAGGACCGTTATCGCCTCCAAATACATCTAGAATGTTGTGCAGTGGATCGGGGCCCATAATAAATGCATACAAGCAATCTTTCCGGTTAGGTGTAACCATAACGAGGGTGGAATAAGCGCCAAGTACTGGTAGGCCCCGACCCGACGTTACACACCCAGTGGTTGGGAACTGATCCTACTCAACCTAGGGCCCCCTACCTCATCCGATGAAAGTTGTTCCTCTGAACTCAAATATAACACATGCGGATTAAACGGATAGAGTGCAACCTATGCATTGTATTCGTTTATAACACACATATACTCCCTCTCTGCCGACGGTAAATGTAACACATGCGGATTAAACGGATAGAGTGCAACCTTTGCATTGTATTCGTTTATAACACACATATACTCCCTCTCTGCCGACGGTTTACCGGGCAGCTCTATTTGACGATGTATATATGCCTCATGTGGGGGGGGAAACGGTAGCGGTTCAAGGAATAGGGAGGGGGTACTAGGTTTTTCTCTTTTTGCCTTTATTGCTCTTTTAGAGTGTGTCCGTTGGATCTCACAATACCCACCATTGCTGTGTGTCATGCATGACATCCTTTAGCTAATCCAGTTGCTAGTGGGTACAAGACCCTGGGGCTAAGTCCTACTAGCTGAAGTTCAGACTTGGTTCCAGTACGCACAGGTTGCTGCCATCCGATCTGAACATCTCAAGGCCACATTTCGGCCAGGTTAAAAAATACTCTAAATGAAGTCTAAACCCCTGCTGGTGGGACCTAGCCGCCGGAATACTTCCCTGGGACTTCTCCGCCAGAGAGAACAGGCTTGCCGCCAGAGAGGTACACAGAGAAAAATCAAAGTCGCACCATCAAGTGCAGAGGGGTTGCAGAGAAACGGCAATCCATGCTCTCATCCATGCTCTGCTGCCAGTGTGTTGGCTGTCATTTCGTTGGTCTTCAGTTGGTCTTCTGCAGCTCCATCCTGCCTACCCCCTCCATCCCAAATCTACCCAACAAGTCCCAGCCATGTCAAAACGTTCTCCTATGAATGCTGCTAAGGATGGCGTGACACACACACACCCTTTTAAAGTCATGCGCAGGCTCACATGCGGCGCATATTGAAAAAAGGCCCTTTACGCATGCCTCTAGTTGAAAATGGTGGCAGTGTCCGAAGTCGCCAAAACTGCAAAATTGCCATGGTTACCGTTCTCGACCTGCAAAAATACTATGGTTAGCATTCTCTGCAATTAGATTATCTGGCTGCCTGGTAAATGCTCGTGTTTCTGACATCTGCTGCTGCCTCCTTGGGGGTTGATTTACCGTTGCTCATGGAGGCAACTTTGCGGAGGAGATGCTCTCGCCCTTTCTAAAGCGACCTCTAAAAGTTGTCTTTTCATATTCTTTTATTGGAAAATGAGAAACACAGCTGATTCATAGAAGTACCAAAGACAACCAATAATAAAAATAAAACCGTAATGTAGTGTGACTATTCCTTGTGACCCGGTAAAGGTAGTAAAGTAGAGGAGAGGGTGCAAGAATGTGTACTGCGGGATCTGAAGTCAGCATAGTACATACTACATAGTGTGGCTGAGCGATGTCCCAAGCCCCTGACTGACAATTTGCACACTTCAGGTAGTTCAGGTCCATAGCATGAGTAGCTCCGTGTAAAGTCTCTGATGAGAAATTGAAATGTGTTTTGGTTTCCTGTGGTAGGTCCAGATGCTTCGATACAATCGATCACCAAATATAGATGAGTCTTCTGAATCAGAAGATTCAAGATGATAGATTCCTGACTGTATGGCTGAGCAGCTGCAAGCGACATACAACTATATTACAACAAGATTGTCTCGTGGGTTCAAATGCCATTCCTCCGTTCTGTTGGAGGTGTAGGTGATGTGGTGGAAAGCATGTTTTGCAAGTATGGAATTATCGGTTGCCCAACAACTTTCCACGTGAGCCCATGTAGCTCAGGTGGTATGCCCTTAGCTGGCCTCCTATCTCCAGCGCACCCACGTAGCTCGCGGTATGCCCTGAGCTAGCCTCCTATCTAACTGGTACTCTCCAGTAGAAGGGCAGTTAGTGAATACTTGGTTATGCCCTGAGCAGGTGATTTAGAGGTAAATGGTCAACCTGTTAGCTGATGGAGGAAGGATTGGACCTCCTAAACACCCTCCCCTTCCCTCCCCCTCCCCCCCCCCCCCCCCCCCCCCCCCCCCCCCCCCCTTGCCTTTCGTCTTTCCAGGCTGTCTTGCCTGCCAAAAAAAGGAAAGTGTGCCAAGGCCCAGGGCCACTGAACAATTCTAACGTTGTAAGATTTAAATTCTATGGGCCACTGCGGGCTGCTATGATAGAACCAAGGCCTCCGGGAATCTGTGAGGCCTTGAAATGGACCGATATTTTTTATTGTCACTATCCTTGACAAGCTGTTTGTTGTTGCCAGGTAGTGTGGTAGGCATGGCTACTTTCAGTGGAAGGACTTGGAAGAAGTCGGGGATTGGGTTGGTTTTGAAATCTTTATCCGGCTCTGCAGTGTACTAGAACAGAACATTATGGTTAAGAATTGGAAAGAAAAGAAAACGGGCAATGGAGTGAAAAGAAATAACAATGCTCATACGTGCATTTATGTCTTTTCTTAGACCACCAGTCCGTTTCCGTGTTAGCTTGTTCCAACGTGCTGGTTAACGTGCTGCAAAATCGCGGTTTGGAGTCACGGAAAGGGAAAAGGCTGTCCATTTTTTGTTCCTCCCCCCCCCC